ATCGTGAAATTTTTTCATTGATTTCCGATTCGCTGCGTTCATCTGTTGATTAAGTCGGTCTCAGAAGAGCTACTCCACTAAGAATTAGTACGAAAGATGATGACTGCTTACCAATTGATTTCTGTGCCACAACATCGACAAACAACGATGTTTTTTTTTGGATTGTTTATAATGAGAGCTATGTTGATGGTTGGTTATGTTTGGTGAAATATCGTCCGTCATGCGTCCAATGTTGAATTCTATGAAAGCAATTGAAGCATTTCAGAAATGAACCGGTTCAGAAGTAATTTTATTCCATTCCGTTAATTGCTGATGATGATGAACGGTTGTGGATGGACAGACTTGTTTCCACCGAGCCTTTACTGAGAATTTCGATTTCAAAAAAAAAAAAAGTGTGCAAACGTGGAAAATTGAGAGCAGAGACATGAAATATTCACATGACAAAGAGACCGAGACAGAGAAACTGACTGAGAGATTGTAAACTGTTTTGTGAGAATGATTCTTCGTTTTGCTATCATTTATTTCTGTGAATATAGCATCATTTGGAAGTTCTTTTCTGTTTGTTTAGCAAGTGCACGATTATTAATTACTTTCATCGGTTTAAGTCACCCAACCTACCCTTGAGTTTTCATGATAATTTTCTTTCACTTTTCCAATTGTTTCCATTCGCGTTTTTAATTTGATCCTATTCGGCAAATTACTTCCTATGTGCGCTCATGTAACTCTCTTCACGGATCGTTGATTCAATAACTCTTCCCTATCGAACGAGCGTTGTGTTGAAGTCATTGTATCAGTTGCTTTCCTTAGGTGTTCGTGAGATTAAATGAGTAGTAAACAGTGTGTAACATCGCTCAATTATATCTTCCGATTGATCTAGATCAATGCAGTTGATCACAAGTCACAATCACCTATAGCTGATCTAGACCAGGGGTCCCCATCGGAGGAAATTACCCGCTGTTGGATAATTTGGGAGTTTCAAGGGGATAATGGAGTGTATCGTGAAATTAGTTCTGACGTTATGCGTAGAAGTAGTAAATTATTATAGCGGAAAGGCCTGCCAGACCATCGAAGGGGTAATGGAGTACCCGGACGTGGGGTCCACTGCTATAGAGAGTAATAGTGTTATTTAGAATGATACTGTTGCTACTCTAATCATTTACATTCAAGGAATGCTCACATACTAGTGAGGTTTGTTCAATGAACTGTGAATCACGGATGAGTGGTTAGCGTGCTCTGCTGAATAAGTTCCTGGAATAATAGCAATATCTGTTCGAAGTTTTTATCTATCATTGAGATGGCTATTTTTTGTTCTTTCCGTATCAATTAAATCCATTATTGAAGTGGAAAAATAATGTTTGCTGAAACTGCTAAGCAATCAACATTGCAATACTCATCTATTAATTGAGCCTTAAGAATTCGGTGTTTGTTGCTTCAACCATTGATTTACAGCTAATCAGTCAGCGTGCTAACGTTCACTTGGAAGTTGACTGAAATGTTCTAAAATAAACCTCGTATTCCACTGTTTTCTGCAAAAGCGAGTCAATGTTTATATTGTGGTATGATTCGGCTGCCAGATTTGATTGATATTGTTGCATTCATTCAATAATTTCATCGTTCAGTAATAATCACCAATATAAATAATTTTTTGAGACGATGACTCAACGTGGCTCAAACACTGAATCATCAAAAATTGTTTTCATTCTCTTCTCTCCAATTTCCAAACAAAATTTTCACAAAAAAATTGCAATTTGTTTCACATTTTTGTTCTCTACGTCGTCGATTCTCGAAAAGTCAGTCATACGCATGCGAAAATGTAAAGTATGCACGAGTTAAAAATAAACTTCGATATAAAGTGAGGTGTTATATTCATTATCACATTCATTGTATAAAATGCAATTACAAAGTCTTTGACTAGAGTAGTGATATGAATTGCGTGAGTGGCCGAGCGCTGACGATTGAGCGATTTCGGCGGAACACCACATTCGCTAGTGATCGTTTCATTTCATTTCTTTTCCAAACAACCTTCCTCACCAGACAAATGATTCCTTAAGATTGCTTAAGAGCTGTTCGGCACTAAATGCAAAAGAGAGAGAAAACTTTCGGAATTGAAGTGAACCAACGAATTGATTTTTGGTGATTGATTTGATTGAGCGGACGTGAGAACGCCTCAAACAGAGCGAGCATTTGTTCGGTTCACGTTTTCATTTATTTGTTCAATTATTTACCTGTCTGCTTAAACAGTTATTGTTGCTCGCTTAGGTTTGTTCAGATGTTTTGTAATTTGTTTATATTTTGTTTGGTAATCCACGGTGAGGTGGTGACTACTATTGTATTTGATATAAGTGTTGTACACACAGGTGTGTGCTACTGTAAATTTTATTCAGTCGGTATTTTTTCATATTTGTCTCTACAAATCGAATATCGTCGCTTTACTTGACTAAATTGACGACGATATTGATGATGATTTTATTCAGTCAATCATCAACACATTTATTGATGAACATACCACCACCAAAAAAAACCCAAACTCAAATATTCATCTCTATTTTCATTCGTTTCTATTTGCACATATGGATGGATATGTTTGGAAAACCATCGTTCACTTCGCACATAAACGATCGATTCCCTCTTTTCATTTGTCATATATTCATTGCTGTTATCCTCTACCACCGATATCCTCCAAAAATGTGCTTCCTCTCTCGCATCCATCACTGATTTACCACAATTTTTTCAACGAGAATTTTGCAGCGACGTTTCCATTTATGGAATAATGACTAGAATCGTCGAATCCAATCGCACTTTTTGGTGTGATCAATAGTCGACAGTCCTCCTTGCTGCCCAGAAAAACCTAGAAAAATGTCTGCATTTTCATATTGTTCAGTTTTGCAGTTTTTTCTTCATTCCTNCATCTTATCTTTTCTTTTGCATTTTCCACTTGTTTTCTACAATTTTTCCACAATTGCTAGAAAATCGGAATCCGGTTTGCCACAGTTCATCCCATTTTGTGCTCCCATCCCTAGCAGGTTGAATCAGGCTTTCTCAAAATAATTCGGAGATTTTCTGCAATACGGTAGGATGTCTTTTCGCTAGTAAAAGTTGCTCAATTGTTGTGCTGCATACGTCGTCGGTTCGCTTCTCGGAACGATGAACTCTTGGGAACGTTTCAAGCGCGAATTCGAAAATATCAATTGCAAAAACGATGCGATTCCGAAAATTTTGCTCTCTGATGTCGATTTTGTTGAAGTGTTCACATGATTTTTTACAATAGCGTTATTGTTTTGCATTCTTATCAGTTCAGCAGCTCTTGTATGATTCGCTCACTCGGTTTGAAGCGAATTCAGTGCGTGAATACAATTCTGCAATGATAAATAGTTGTGATTATTGCATATTGAAGATATTTTCGAGTTTGAATTTATTCGTTTTTGATGTTATTTTTGTGATCGTCGTTGTTATTTTCATTAGTGTTTAATCAGATGACGGAGTATTAATGCATTTTGTTGGTTCGAACTTTTGCCTGATTTTATGATATCGTTCTGTTTTTTTTTCAGTGTTTGAATAACGTTTGTTATTGTAAGAAGTGACTAACTCGTTAAACGCGTGGTAATCAATTCATACACAGACATATAGACCACGGGCACGGTGTTCTCTAAAAATATTCTCCAGTCCATTCATCCGTACCTCTTTTCTGCACACCCTGCAAAATCACCACCATTTTTATTCGTCGTTATCCACGCAACTTTATTATTAACTGCACTGTTCATCTTCTTATTCCATCTGCATAGAGCTGTTATTATCAATATTATATCTGTATTATCATTATTATTATTATTATTATTATTATCATTTGCGAAGCAACATCAAAGCACATTCCCTCAAAGAAGTATTCATTTTCATCATAAGCGCCTTCTTGTTCTATCTCACTTTGCAATTGTGAGTTTACTACTTCTTCGTTTTTCAGTTTTCTTCGAAATTTGATTCAAATTCTTACATCATTGTTAAGTTTCCGTAGAGGTGTTGATATATCGTTTGCAGCACCATGAGATGTTCAGCTCTGAATGGATCAGATTACGTTGAAGTTGTTTTTCTGGGATTATAATTGATATTCATTGTACAACACGTTCTATGGTAGTGGATCGATTTTTGTGAAAAAATATCATCTTTATTTTCGTTGTTGTTCTTAGCAATAATACGGTTATTAATCTGCATTAAAGTGGTTTGAAAAGTGCTTAAAAATTTCTCATTTGTTCATCCAGCTGAATGAATCTACATGAAATTTGTGCTTCTTCTAACTAGATTTTTCATTCAACGACTGCGCATCCTTTAAGCTGGTTGTGCACTCCTTATTCTAGTTCGTATCATTTCGTCTTTTTTTTTNTTTTTTTTTGCTTCCACATATCCAGTTTTCAGTGACATTTCTGAAAATTATTTGCCTACGACCGAGAAGAAAAATGCAAATAGCGTAGCAATTTTATATGTGACTACTGAATATGATGATTTTTTGTTTAGTTGAATTGTTAACGATGGAGAATTATGTTTTTCGATAATATTCAGTAGCGCTATGATTTCGGCTAAGAAAAGTGTTTGACGTATTCAGTTTGAACGATGATGTTTCTTTTAGGCTTTCGTTAAGAAGATTTTCATTCCTCAAGAACGATCACATGTACTTAATGATAACGATTAGCGAATTAGCATCATTTTTAAAACACATTTTTGTTTGTCATTGTTGTGATTACTTGTTCGTTGATGTGGTCGTCATACGATCACACTAGTAATCACTCTGTCAAGTCCATCAATCATCTCCTCGTAATGTATATTCAACTTCAGTTTCATCATTGCACCAGTATTTTTGTTCTACCGAATGCTGACATTTGTAAATATTTTTGTGAAGTGATTGCTTATGAATGCGGTTGTATTAATGTATATGTTATTGTTACTGAACTAATGTTTGTGAGCAATTTCAGAGGGATTCCGTGGAGGAAGGTGTCAGAAGATCAAGAAGGATGCAAGCCGCGTCGCCAAATAGTCTGCAACAAGATGGTGCGGGCGTCGCGGCTGTAGAGCTGGTTCCATTGCACGCAGATGCAGCAGCGAGCAGTGAGCAGTCCGCGATGATGGTCAAATTCACCGATGAGAGTATTGCGGCCATAAGGAAGGCGCAGCGTTCGCGGGCTCCGATCAAGTTCAAAATCGACCCGCAGGTAAGGAATTTATCACAGATTTATCATGCGCGCCCTTGTTTACCGAGTTAGTGTTTGAGGATCTGATGAGTTTAATTGTTTATGAAAATTTTGTTGCATTAGAAGGCTGGATGGATTGGATGGATTCATTGGCCGTTTTAATTAGTTCATAGATAGTGTTGTCAGGAACACCGTTGCTATTGTTATATTGTTATTACTGCGTTGGTGTTATGCATTTTATCACCATAACATAAACTTATTATTGTCACTATCGATAGTGGTTTCTCTTTCGACACTAGATTGTTTTTGATTACAAGCAGTTAGTGGTTGAAGTACACTTGATTATGTGAATATACATTTGTGGACAATTACATTATATTACCACGTTTTTATGTGTTCAGGTGACTACGGCATCGATAATGAACTTGAAGTAAATCAGAAATTAAGCACTGGTGATGACGATGAAAATGATAGTGACGGAAAATAGCGTGAAATCGGAATAATTAATGCTGTTTTGAAGGGTGGTCAAATCGAGATCGGGTTGGGTGAAACGGCCACAAAATTTCGTTTTGTTGTTCAGCAACTACCAGGTACACCCGCGGACGCGGTTGTATTTGATAAAGTGCGTGGCTATCGAGCCACTGCTTCATTGCAATCCAAAATACAGGTGGGTTGTTTATCTGTGTGTTTTGTTTATTTATTTGTTCGGTGTTAAGATCAGATATTATTCCGTTATTGTTTTTAGAATTTGCGGTATCCATTAGAGCTCTGTTGCAGATTCAAGCCACTGACAAGACTTTTGCGGAGACCCGTGAAAAAGCTCAAAAGCTTGCCGAAGAGGAGAAGAGGAAAGCAACAAAAGATGTTACTAGGTATGTTGATATATTGAGAGTTTCATCTATTTTATTGAGTACGTCTCAAATATTTCTTCCTGTTACATACATAATTACATAATTGCATAGTAAATTTTCACATGATTCAATGAGGCCATCGGTAAAATTTAATGCAATTCTGTTCAAGTTAATCCTAATAGCTCGTAAGAAATGGATGCAATTGAAAAATACTGATGAATTTAAGTATTAGTAACTTTACTGACATTAGCGGTATATTCAGGCAACGTCGCGATCAACGACCGATGACCGTGAAACGTGCCACTAATCCATTAGCGATTGGCGCGCAGCGTCCAAGTCCTTCCTCTTCAACGTTCTCAAAGAACAACAATCATTCCTCCGAATATTCATCTAGAAATGCTCATAATAATAGTAGTAATAGTAACCTTTCTAAGGTGCGTAAAATGTTGCTTTCATCGTCTTTTTTAATTGTTTTGCTTTTCATGTTTTCGTTTCTTTTTTTTTCACGACGATATTTCGACTTCTCGAATATTTCGAGTTTTATTTTTTCGGCCTTAATTTTTCGTTCAATTTTAAACATTGAATATTGCAGGCAACAAGTCATTCACAAAACGGGTCGAATACTGCTGCTAACTCTGGTTGGTGGATTGATTTTTCACTTTTCCTCATTCTCTTCTGTTCCGATGTTTTCAGTCATCCATATTTTGTAATATTACAATGAGATGAAGCGCTTGCAGTATGAAATGATCAGTCTTAAAATGGTGTAAAAATTGTAGTTATCGTTAACGGTTTGTCATTATAAGGAATGAATAAATGAATGAATTTAAGCGGGTGCACGTTATATGCGTGCTGAAATTTCTCGTAAGCCATTACGTAAGCGTGTGATACACTTGGTTGTGTTGGGTAAATTTCGCAATGCTGACGAAGTGATTTGTCAATTGAAAAAAGACGCAGTCAGCGAAGATGGCATTCAAGAAGCTGCTAAAGCTCGTGACATAGTTGACGAGGTTTTAATTCACTTGCTTGATTGTTTTTATTTGCTTTTTATAGTCTGATGAATGGAAATAACGTATTGAATAAATAGAACAAAATGTGCAGGTTATTACATTGATTTTACCTATGATTTTGTTGATTATGGTTATTGAGTGATTGCTTTCTTGATACTTTTTTCATTGCGCTTCTCAATTTGTTATTGATGGATTCTTTAATTTTAAGGTATCAGAGGTAACGGGTAAAGAAACGGGTCGACTGCAGTTGAAGCAGTCATTCTATAATGAGGTTAGTGATGGTCATGTTGAGATTGTTTGATCAGTTTAATAGATAGTATTGATTCATTAAATTATTTCTTGAATCGGCAGTTGATGTGATAAGGATGAATTAATGATTGCTGATCGGATCGATTTGAGGTTGATGCTCGCTGGCCGGGTTTCAACTCAGAAGAGAAGAGTCAGGTGCGTAAAATAATATCGGGTAATCTCAGTTCACAATCGTCAAATTTCGCTCCAACTCGTAAATCTGGAATGGCACCACCTCAGGCACCACCCGCTCCTTCATCATTCTCTTCATCAGCATCTCATACATCTACTGTTAACAATAATATTAGTCCCGAAGGTTAGTGCATTTTTTTACTTTGAATTCTTAAGTCGTTCTATCTTCATCTCGCACCTCTGGATCAAGTCATCCAATTTCACCAGCATTATTGATAGCCGCGACATTTTTTAATGCTTTATAAGTATTGTTCTCCATCTTTGCGAAGTTCATTCACCGAAACCCTCTGAAAATATTATCTTCATCGTCGGCTTTTGCAGTATTGTTTCCTGAAGTTGGTTCACAGACTTGAACAGTAACTATAGTTTTTCGAATTCCTTTTCAAAATCTAACCGAATTCCGTGCAATCGTAATTTTATAACCGAAGTGAAAAACGTTGCAAGCTATTCAGTCTGATTGCAGCAATTCCAACTCCACCAACGTGCTCAGCACAACGCTCGACCACCTCATCAACCTTCTCATCCTCAACAAATTCGTCGTCATCTCGTAAAACATCACCTAAATTGATACCAGCGTCATCTTCTGCTCACAATCAATCCTTGTCATCTTCAAACAACAAAAATCCTAGTCCAATCAATAATCAATCGTCAGCCAATAACAATTCTAATTCGCAAACAAGTAGTACAATTTGGTATGTTGAATCTTCATTTACATTCATGAACAACGAATGAAGTTTCTGTTTCCATCGTATTGTTTGACAACGAATTCGGGAGTTGCATTTGATAAAAGCTTACATAGGGATTAGCTGAGTGCGTTTTTGGAGTTGGTGGATGTGAAGAATGAGTGTTTTAAGTAATCCATTGGATGATCTCCTGCCTGTGTCGACATCTGGATCAGCAGTGAAGAGGAAAGCACATCAGCCAACTGGTGGTAGTAGTAGCAGCAGTAGCAGCAGCAGCAGTTCGTCTTCGTCGAACATTCCCGAGAAACGTCCTAGACAACAGTCCCTCTCACCTCCTGAAGACCCATCAAGTGCCAATCCTGCCACTGTACCTCAACCACCTCAGGTGAACAACGCCTTCTTTTCCATCGATCAGTTAATTGTTGCATTGAATTTTAGAAATTTCATAGGGAATGATTTGGTGCAAAATTTTGCAAATTCATTTCAAAAATTTCCAAAGATTTAAATCTCAAATGGCGTTGGATCCTTCATTATATTCTATTCATATATTGATTTATGGAGGGTGTTTTTGTTTGTTTCTTATTTTCTGTGCGCTGTTTTTTTCTTATCAAGTGAAATAGATTGTACGCATTATTGTGTTTCTATTCGTTTTTCATTATTATTGCTGCTATCACAATTGGTGTTATTGTTTAGAAGCCAGTCCAGCGCAACGATAGGCATCTGCAGGCAAACGGAGCAGACCAATCAACCATAAACAATATAAATAATAGTAGTCCATTAACAGTACCCTCGCAACCCACTCGTGATTGGTCGAAGTACTTTGGTGAGGCACGCAGTTTAGCGGAAGCTGAAAAATATTACAATATGTTCATTGTGAGTTTATGATTTCTCTCTATTTTTTCTCGATCTCATTGTCGTTATTCCAAAGAAGTTGTAATCTGTAAGTTTCTTGTGAATGATTCGATGAGATGTCAGTCGATTGGTAATCTTCTTTCAGGCGGATTATCCAGCATACATGGAATGTTATAAAGTATTAGCATCGGTGGCGAAAGAATTCAGTGAGCTCGAAAAGCAGTTGAATGATTCACTAAAACATCCTCGGGAACATGAAAAAGTTGGTGAATTGGAATGATTCATTTTTGATGTTCACCTTTCTTGTTTGTTCATCAGGTTCAGTGGAAATGTCCAAAATGGATTGTTTTGCATAGTGCTCCGTAGAAATGTGGCGGTGGAGAAAGTGAATGTAAGTAATACTTGCTGCAGACTGAATGATATCTGAATTTGAATGTTGAACGATGAATTTGCTTACCGTCATTATTAAGAAGTGATAATTTTGCATAAAGGGATGCATGATGAACTCTATAAAAGTGAATAAATGTCCTACGGAAGCGCACTGGGAAATGAGGGATTAGGTGGTGCCTGTAACGGATATTATTTTCACGTCGTACTGTGTTTTTCACTCATTCATTTCTATTGGAGAGTCGGCTATAAAGCATCCACATCGTAGTGATTATATTTGGTAAAGTGTTTGCGTTACGCGACCGCACATCAGGATAAATGAATTTATAAGTGAGGTTTGAGTTTATGGGCGAAGTGATGAATTGTTTGAGTGAGGTGGACAGTTTGAATTTCATCAGCGGCGAATTTTTCAAAATTTTTTACCAAAACATGGGGTTGCTTATATATTCAGTTTATGATCGCTTACTTCATAAGGTGAAGATGTTTTGATAAAAATTTGTGCAATTGTATTCATCTGAAAATTAGCATTACTCTGTTTTGCCGCTGATCCGGTCGGTTCTTTTTTATTTATTAATAAGAAGTTTGAAGGAGGAGTTCGAAGTAATTTTTCGATGGACTTTCAGGTTGAACGCACAATACAAACCAAATATTTGCATTATCAACGGGATGCAGAATTTCTGCAGACTCGTCAAAAGCATGCGGACTTACGTGCGAAGTTGGATGTTCTCAAGAAACGGATAAACCAGTGGGAAATGCAACATGCAAAAAATGACTCGTCTTCAACTCGTTCATCGGAAATCACAGATGCTCGTCGCTCTGCAATCAACGACAATGTTTTAGTGATGTGATTTGTGGATTGATCAATCGCTTGAATGTACGCCGTATATCTTGTAATAACGCCATCATGTTTCATCATCACTATCGCTTTATTGTACCTCCTTGTAATGTGTATTCATTTGTAGCATTATTAGAAGTTTTATTATAATTGATCAATTGATTGATTAATTTTTGGTTCACTCATTCATCAGCCATCTTTTCAAAACGTTCAATTCATCGCTTCTGTTCTCTTCCAACCAGAGTGTGAAACGGAGTTCATGTGCGAATATTGCAAAAAATCAAGAACTGTTGCCTGGGATTCATAATTCATAATAGTCGTAGAAGTATGAGGGATTAGTTTTTTTTTTCATAGTTTTGCACGGTAGCAGTGTGACCCGTCGAACAAAACAGTTGTAACAGATAGCGCGTTTCGAGCAGTTCGCCTTCATCGCATTCGTTCTGGCCATCAGTGAAGCCCATTTTGAATCCCTCTCGCAAACTAGATGAGTTTCAACAGAAATAGCGCGATAGTTTGTTTCATTTGTATATTATCTGTCACTGTGCACTGTAAGACGTCGTTTTGTTTTTAGCTCATTTATACATAATATTTACTGTGTGTTACTATGTGCGCATGTTATCACGAATTGTTTATTCGCACCTATATCCTTGATTAATTGATTCGTTCCGCTGTCTGTGTGCAGATTTAGTAGGCATCTCCGATTGTGCACTATTGCTATTATTATCATGAGTATCGGCAAATTTTGATTGAATATCTGAATCGGTTGACGATGACGGCGTGATACCATCAAGATGTTGAACAGGTCGTTTGAAGAAACGATATTCGTTGGATGAGTACAAACTCATAGGAAATTCGATCAAGATTTGTTTGATTTCGTTCAACTCGCATCACTTTCGTTATCGTTACAATTCATACGTCCGTCTGCTTGTATTATTATTGATGCCACAACTCTAACTGTATTTGCTACAATTTTTGCTTCTTGTTCATATTATTATTCAAAATTTAGTTATTGTTTTGTTATTATCGCTATAATTGTTCTATCATTAATATTTTTCTTATCATTATCGTAGTATCTATGTCTTGTCTTTTAGCTGATGTGGTTTTGTGTTTTGAATTTTTCTTCTGTTCCACCTTTTTGCATATATTCTAGGTTTGATTGATTCAGCCGAATTTCCTCCGTAAATTTCTTTCGTTTGTAATTTCTTAAATAAGCAATCGCCTCTGAACCCGCATTACAACGTTCATGTATTTTGTTGATTGTTCGCTGAATGCATATTGTGATTTCGTGCATCTTCTTAATGATATGACACTGAATGGTTGCGATTTAATGTGAAGTTACATCGATTAGCGTACATTTACCTGTACATTCGTAAATATACAACATCTACTGTTGATGGTGCATTCCGATTGGTAGGCAGCAACATGTCTCTTTAGTCATATGTCCAGGAAAGAAATCTATTCAGAATGTCATTCCACTGCAAAGTCTGTTCTTTGATTCGAGTCTGTTCACATTCATGTAATTAGAGGAAAATGGGTCAGCCTTATGCAAGAAATTCAAGTCATGGATGTCTTTTAGAATCGAATTAACTTTGCGGTAGGCACAAATCGATACACGCACAAGGTGTACGTTGTTGTCGCAAATTGATAAGGAATGTTTACGAAAAGTGCAGTACTATCAGTTGATTAGGTATAATATAATTTTTTGCGTTACTGTTTTCTCGTTGATGTTGTTTTGTAAAGTCATTGAAAAGTTGGCACCTTTCGTTCATGAAGTTATTCGTTCGGATTGTATGGTGGTGGTAATGATTCTTCAAGAAGGAACAAATCAGTGTAATTGTACCAAGGTATTAGTTGTAAATGCAAATAGTCACATCAGTTGATTCATCCTCATTTGTTCGTGAATGCCAAAAATCAGAACGTGTTCTGCGTTTATCTGTATATGATCGATGTAAAATCTGTTGTGTTATTCATCGTTGATCACCATCATCTGATATTGTGATCAATATGGGTTGAATGGCGGATTAATCGATTGATTGATCGATTGATTGATTGGTCGATCGATCGATCAATGAACGGTTTAATTCATTGACTGATTACGGTGTCGGATTCATCGTTAACTTAAGAAATGAGCAAATTATTGTTCTACTGAATGACTGTTGCTATTGTTGTTGTTTTATCGTCTCGAGATTGTTTCATTGAACATTTTTCATTGGTGTTCGTATTTTATTCGATCGTTTAGTGTTCGTCTGGTGCAGGTCTGTCTATCGCTTAGTCGATTCGACATTATTCTTTTAAATTATATTCAATGCTCTCTTTCCGGTTTGCTCATCAGTTTGTTTTCGGTATCATTTGTTTCCTCTTGAATTCTCAGTTGATGATAGTTTTCTCATTGTTTTACAATTGTTCTGTTCCTCGATGGTTATTTGGTCCTTTCGCGGTATCATTTTTTGCTGAAAATCTCGAAACAATACGACAGCAGCATATCTGAAACTGTTAATGAACACTCACAAATTCGATTGCTTTTATATACGTGTATGAGAACGATGATTTTTCGGAGTCCACAACGTATTCGAATTGAAGAGAGCTGTGAAAAGGAAGTGTTCTCAAAACATGGAGCATTAATGTCGGATGTAATTTGTCGCCAAAAAAGGAATTTGCCTCTCCAAAAAAAATTCATGTAACGAACATATTTGGGTACCGTTTGACAAGTAATGCTGGTTTGCTATCTGTTTGTTAGTGAAAGATAATCGGAAAACTGTTAAAAATATGCTTTGAATANCAATTCATAATACGTATAAATTTATATGTATATGTGAATATTGCTTGACTATTTGCTTGATTGATTGAATGCTTGATACGTGATTTATACATGAATCCATGTTTTATGCGGGTCGTTTTTCATTCACAATATCTGTTTTTCTCATTTCGTTTCATTAAAAGCCATCACCGTTTTCTCATTCGATTCTTCCATCTTCTACTTTTTTTTTGAAACTTCGTTGCGATTTTTGTTCGTTCATTCTCTTTCCTGTTCGTCATTCACTCATCGTTGATTGCTTATTGTGTGGGAATATTTTTTTGCGTTGTATTGCATTCGTTTGCTACTTTCGCACATTTTTTTTCATTGCTCTCAAATGAATATTTATGAATATGGTCCCCGTCAACAGCATCATCATTATCATAATATTAGTGCTCGCTTATACGTTTAGCCGTTTACAATTTAGCGGTAATGGTACGGTGTTTCGTTTGTTTCTGATTTCGTTTCATTGTTTTGTTTTATTTATTTGTTTTCTTCATTTTTTGGTTAATCATTAACGAGCGATATAAATGCATCGTTTAAATGTTTGTGCTCGTGCAGCTACATGTGATGATAAGTGCGAACGAATCATGCTCAGCAGTATATGATTATACGCCGTTATCACTTCGTATCACTCAAATCGGCTTCTTCAGCTTCACAAAATTCCTTCAAATTGAATGAGGAGTCTGCAATGGTGCGCGCCGTTAACAGAAATGTTAGCGCGATACTCGATAATTCGTTGACCAGAAATCTTAACGTAACTAACGTCAAACCGTTGAAGCGAAATAAAAAGTTGTTAATCGTTAACAAATATAATCGTGAACGTGTGCAAATTTGCAAAAAAATGTCTCACAATCAATAACCACAATAAAACGTGATCGTTAAAGTCAGTCATTAATCTCGGGCTTGAACCGGTTGAATAATTGGATGTGATGATTCGCCAGATTTCTTAGATTTGAAAGCAGCACTTTGAAAATAGCGCATTTATTTTGCTGAGTAGCGTTTCAACCAAAACCACCACTAATTTTTCCGAATAGCGACAATTTTCACTATTTTTCCGCCCGCAGCGCTGCAGGCGGATTAGTTTCGAAAGGATTGATAACAATTTTTAGTGAGCTAGCGATTCGCAGAGTTACTCTTTTCATCGACATGCCCATCACTGGACGGAACTGATCTTATTCTAAATTTGATGATATACACCTGGAGTGGGTGAATATCGAAATTTTATAAGTAAGAGGTATGAGTATGTATGATTTAGTAATGATCTTTTCAACTCATTGATGATCTTGACTTAGTAACTGATCTTCTCCTGCCCACCACAGCTTATGATCAAAAGTGCTTGAGCCTTCCGTTTCGGCTACCCAGAGCTGTTTCCTTGCTGCTTGCCTAGTTGAGATCTAGCCAACATGCAAATCTAAATTAAGACCAGGGTCAATCTGACTCGCAAAATTTGGCTGATTGTGAGCAACAACAATATGGACATCGCACAAAGGTTAAACCAGTAATCAAATTTCGATAAACGGAATGAAGCACAAATTATGTAGCTGTTAGTGGTCATGACCAACAACAGAATCGATTGCTTATCCTTTAAAAAATATCACAAATTAACGGAAAACGAAACGAATAATAAATCAAAGCCAAACAATCACACTGAACTCGACAAATGCAAATTTACGAAAACAACTACGACAAATGCAAAATGATGCAAATTCGGTCAATGAAGTAAGATTAGTTGATGACACCCGAACGGATTTTCGGTTCCGTCGGAATCCGACAGGATTCATATTGTGATAAGGGTATCCGAGCGAATTTCAAAATGCTTCGGTCGGAGTCCGAATCTAGGATTCCGACCAAACAAATCGCATTTCACCGATTGAACTTCGGTCGGTTAATATGACTACGGAAGACAGAGAAAAAAAAAACAACCAAAAGCAATTGTTATTTCCACTGAAGTGAGTTCATCAATGAGTGGAACATTTGAGGAGATCACGAACGGCTCGTCGATAGCACGGAAATGCAGAAATTGTGCAAATGCTGATCACAATCGTTCTGAACTGAAACTTTTTTTGGATCACTGACATGAGTGCTTTTACATTCAAACCTTTGTTCTATTTCTATCCGCTCAGTCGAAACAAAATAGCCCATTTTCAGCTTCGAGCTGTAACAAGCACTCGTATTGTGCCATGAATTCTTAATATACTGTTATCGTAAAGAGGCGT